GATGCCATTTATTTGGTTCATAGTACAGTATATTCGTTAATTTGAGTTTTACAAAACATCAAATATAAACAACGTGAAATTGTAACAATACACAAAAATTGGCTTCTTACACAGACATATCAGGCAGTAAAAACTGAAAATCTGAGTAAATTAACATTGTTTTACATTGATGCACATAGTGCCATTGACTTGTACTTTTCTCTATGTGTATGTCTTGAAATAAGGAGCATTTGAAGTAAGAATGTAAGGACAATGAAAACCATGTGGCTTTCCACTTATAGTGCACTAAACAGTTTTTCATCTCAATTTTTAGTGTTCCTTTCTATTTTATTACTTGATTTGATTTGAGTTTTGATTTTCTGAGACAGGGTCTCACTATGTAGTTCAGGCTGGCCTTGAATTCACTATGCAGCCCAATCTGGCCTCACATTCATAGTGATCCACCCTCATCAGCCTCATGATTGCTGGGAATACGGGTGTACACCATTATCCCCGGCTTCTTTTCTTATCGTACAGGCAGTAATCATCCCAGGTTCTCAATCTGTGGTCTTTCAAAAGACCTCAGCCCTTGGACTTTGCCCTGGGGAGACCCCTACAGCCACAAAGGAACCAGCCCTAGGGCGGTCGCTGGCCGTGGTGCTGAAGGATAGAGCCTGGCTCCCACTCTCCTTGCCCTCACTTCACTAATGAAAACCCACGCGGGAGCTCCACTCTCTGGAGCAGCTAGGTGAGAAGGATGCCCTGTGAGTGCTTTTTGGAAAAAGTATTTTTTGTTGTTGTTTGTTTGTGGGGTTTTTTGGCACAGGGTAACGAACTTGAGACCTTACGCTTGCAAAGCAGGGGGCAGAACCACTGAGCTAAATCCCCGACACAAAAAAATACTGTTTTATTTCTGAGCTTTGGGCTATCTTCTTATCTCTTAGCTATAACTACAGATAATTTGAAGAAACTGAATGTTTGAAACAGTTTTCTTCAACAGTAGGTTGCCATGTTTTCAAAAACTTGTTTGTATTTAGTGATTTTTAAATATGTGGAACTAGCCAGTCACTGTGGTGTACAATTGTAATCTCAGCCCTTTGGGAGATTCGGGCAGGAGGATTTGAAGTTGAAGGCCAGCCTGTGCCACATAGTGAGATGCTGTCTCAAAAAATAAAAATACAAAAAACTATTTTAAAAATTTTAATCTGTGATGCAAAAGGGAGGGTGAAAAAGAAAAAATTAACTTTCATGAACTGCTGATGCCTAACAGAACATGTTTCGTTTGTGCTTCTCATGTGAGCTTGTTCAGTCTTCAAATCAGCCCTCTAAGGGGATCATGACTAGGCAGTAAAGAGGCTGAAGTCAACCATGTTCCCCATGCCAAGCACCTAGTGAGCACTGAACTGGGATTCTACTCTTGACAGGACAACTGTGGGGTTTTCTTGGTCCATTCAAACTGCTATAACATAATACCTTGGGCAGACTAATTTGCAAGCAATAGAAATTCATTGTTCACAGTTCTGAAAGCTGGAGAGTCCAAGGTGCAAGCAGATCTGATGCCTGGTGAGGGGTCATCCCTCATAGATGCCACCTTCTTTTTATCTTCACAAGGCAAAAAGGAGAGAAAGAGCCCTGAGGCCTCTTTTATAGTCACACTGACCCCACTCAGAGTGGATCAGTTTAATCACCTCCCCAAACACCCACTTCCTAATACCACAATACAAAGAACTTGGGTTCAGGGTATGAATTTTGGGAAGACACAAGCGTACACACCGTACCATGGCTCCAATTGTCACCTGACCTGACTGCCTTCCCCATGTTCCCTAAAAGTCAGTCCTTGTCCTTAAGGTGTGAGATGAAGCACCAGCAGCCACCTCAACATTGCAAACACCAAGGAGGAGGAAGGCAGCAGATTGGGTAGAAAGAGTGTCCCAGCTTTTTACTAAGGAAAGCTACCAGAATTGCCATGAAATCTTTGTCTTCTCTGCATTAGACAGGACACAGTTATTTAACCAACCTCTACAGTGCTCTCAAATCTATTGTGTCTTCTGGGATGCCGTGAAACTGTCAGAACATTAGAGATTCTAAGAGGGCACAAATGGATGGAAGGATGCACAGTTAGCAGTCACACGAAACATCCACTCCACACCCTCCTTTCTAAACAAGGAGTGCTCTCACAGCATCACCAACAGATCAAACCCAAACCCCATCCACCCTCTCTATTTCTTTCAAGGTCTATGATCTTTGTTGATGTGCAATCCTTTCCCTCGAGTTCTTATGATGCTGTTGTGCCCTGGAAATAGATAAACTCCAGGCAATAATCACCCCTACTTCCTCCAAGTATGGAGTAAGGACCCCTATCATGCCAAATCAAAACCTCATTGGAGACTTACTGCTTCCACTAATGGCAGCTACTTAAGTTACTTGAATTAAACTTCCAGCTGTTTTAAAACAACTATCAAACCTGGATGTTTTCCTGATTCCTCAAGTAAATATGACCTAAGAAGCCACTAAAGAATTAGCGAGATGCTTGGGAGTGTGGTTCAGTGGTAAAGTGCTTGCCTAGCACGGATGAGGGCCTGAGTTCATCCCATAGCTCCACAGGGAGGGAGGAAGAGAGAAAGAGACAGAGAATAAAGAGAAGATAAGAGGAGAAGGAGGAAGAGAGAAAGGCAGGAGAGAGAGTATTAACATGGAAACAGAACACCAGAGATAAAATGAACATGAAGTCTACTTTTGCTCTGAAGCCATTTCTCAAGACTGGAAAATATGAAACTCTATTTTAATGGCCTCTTGCTGGGACAGAAAGAAACCAAAGCCCAAGGGTAACACAAGAAGAGGGATTTACAAGATCTTCCTCCAATAACTGGGGCATCCATGGATGACATCACTCCTAGCCAGAGTGAAATGAAGCAAAGGAGGTTGCAAAGGGGGTTTTCAGCTTGAATTAAACTACCTTTATGACCTTGGGACCACAAGCCTTGAGCTCATATTTAACATAATCCTCAAGCAGCAGGACTCCAAGGACTCCTCTGCAGAAAGCTGCTGTCTTCAAATTTTTCTAATAATCTTTCAGATAGGACAGGCAATACCCAGGAAGATAAGGAGCCACACAGAACCAGTTGACCCTATGAAAGAAAGCTCTGCACAAAGGACAAGTAATATATTAGATATAGGAATAATAGTGACCTCACTGTGAAACAACCATGCCTACAAGGATGAGTGGCACAGCTCTGCAGTTCCAACTACTGGGAGGTGGAGATATCGCTTGACCCCAAGAGTTCAAGACCTGCCTTAAAAAAAAAAAAAAAAAAAAAAACAGACTGCGGGGCTGGGGATTTAGCTCAGTGGTTTTGCCGCCTGCTGTGTAAGTGCAAGGACCCAAGTTTGATCCCCGGCACCAAAAGAAAAAAAAACCAGACCCCAACTCACGCACACACACACAAAAAGATAAAAGATGAAAGAACTTTTCCCCACCTTGTAGTTTGTCTCTTCACTCTGTTGGTGGTTTCTCTTGCAGTGCAGAAGCTTTTTAATAAGATGAGGTCCCAGTTGTTGATTCTTTGTGTTAGTTCCTGTGTGATTGAGGTTTTGTTCATAAAGTCTTTTTCTATGCCAATGTTTTCAAGAGTTCTACCTAACTTATCTTCCAGCAGGTTTGGTGTTTCTGTTTTAATATTTAGATCTTCAATATATTTCAATTTTAGTTTGGTGCATGGTAAAAGATACAGGTCCCTTTTTAATCTTTGGCAAGTTGAAACCCAGTTTTTCCAGCACCATTTATTAAAGAGGCTATCTTTCCTCCAGTAAGGGTGTTTAGCTCCTTTGTCAAAGGTGAAGTGGTTTAGTATGTACGGAGTTGTTTCTGCATCTTCTAATCTATTCCATTGGTCCTCAGATCTATTTCTTTTCCTTGCAAGCACCATGCTGTTTTAGGAATCACTAACAGAGTGAAAAGACAACTCACAGTGTGGGAAAAAATTTTTTACCAGTTGTTTGTTAGACAAAGGACTACTATCCAGAATATATAAAGAACTGAAAAAATCAGACCCCCCCAAATTTAAATACCCAGTCCAAAAATGGGCATCTGAAATGAACAGATGTTTCTCAAAGAAGTAAAAGCAGCAAATAAACATATGAAAAAGTGTTCAACATCACTGATCATTCAACAGATGCAAATGAAAACAACAGATGTAAATGAAAACAACTCTGAGATTCCACCTCACTCCAGAAAGAATGGCTGCTATCAAGAAATCAACCAATAACAAATGCTGGTGGGGCTGTGGGGGAAAAGGAACACTTCTCCACTGTTGGTAGGAGTCTAGACTAATGTACCCATTGTGGAAATCAGTGTGGAGATTCCTCAAAAAACTAGGATTAGAGGTCCCATTTGACCCAGCTATTCCCCTTTCTGGTATGTTTCTGAAAGAATTAAAAACATCATGCCACAGTGATATATGCGCACCCATGTTCATAGCAGCACAGTTTGTAATAGCTAAAGCTTGGAAACAGCCCAAATGCCCATCAGCTGGTGACTGGATAAAAAAGATGTGGCTTTTTGAATAAAATGGAGTATTAGTCAGACATAAAGAAAGACAAACTAGAGACATCTATCACTAAATGTGAAATAAATAGGACAAATGTGTAAATATAGAATTGTTTCTCTAAAGTGAGGAACTGAAAGTGTAAATGAGAACCAAAATGTGTGACAGACACTGTGAAATAGGCAGAAAAAGTTCAAAGGGGAGGGGGAACTAGGGAGGGGTGGTGGAAAGGGAAAGAGAAAATAAGGAAAAAACGGAAACAAAGCTTTTGTAAATAAGGAAGAGTGGAGAGGTGAGAGGGAGGGAAGGGGAAGGGGAAAAAACAAGAACCAAGATACATCATGTACAGGCACAAATTCCCAATGATGAATGCGATCATAATATATACCTAAAAAGTACCCATAAACAAAAAAAGAAAAGAAAAAGGGAGACACCAAGCTTGTGATGTGTGATAAACTCACTAATTGAGGAACCAACTAACAGTGAAGTCTTTTAAAGGGAAGAACAGACAAGATCAGCAGGGAAGTCAGTGTGGTGGAGACTGCAACAAAGGCTTCCACTTCCTGACTCTGAGCCTCAGCCTTGCCCTAATTCTGGTTCCTCTTCTACTCACACACTTCCCATGGCTCCCACCGTCACCATGGGATCCCTGCGCTCAGCCAGAAGCAGTCAGGGTCTTGGGCTCAGAAAACCCAGCCCCCCCCCCTCCTCCCACTCACGCCCACGCATGGGTCCCCAGCTCCCCCTGCTGGCGCTCGCTGAGACTCAGACACAGGTAACTGCACAGTTTATCCCTGAGTCGGCAAAGGACGCTGGGTGGGGTCAGCCGGGTCCCAGGCCAGGCCGCAGAGCTCCCTGCTCGCCCCCACTCAGCTCAGCGGCTCCACCCGCAGCCAGAGCCCGCCCTCTGCGCGCAGGATCAGCTCCGGCTTCCGGCGCGGCTCCGTGTAGTCGGGCAGGACGCGGAAGCGCAGCAGAGTCAGCGCCAGCGCCACCTTCATCTCGGCCATGGCGAAGGTCTGCCCGATGCAGTTCCTGCGGGCGGGGAGGGGACCGTGACTGCGGCCCGGACCACCCAAGCCCGTCCTACCCGAACCTGTCCGGGACCCCACCCCACCCTGGTCAGCTCCAGGGACAGCGAAGGGCCCTAATGGTGCATGGACCCGAACTGCACCCACTCAGCCCTCTCCCCCAAACCTTCACGTATAGCAGCAAGAAGCAGACCTGGACCTCTATCCATCCGCAGCTTCCCTCTGTTTCCCCCATATCATCCCCACACCTCGCCCCATCAGCCCACCCCGGCCTCAGAAGCCCGCTGCCCTCACCTGGACCCCGCCGAGAAGGGAATAAAAGCCAGAGGTGACCTCTTCTGGGGGTTTTCTGGGTCAAAGCGGAAGGGATCATAGACCTGGGATGTGGCAAGAAGAGGCTGCTGGGTGGGGCCTCTCTGATCGCCCAGGCGCCCCAGGGGAAGACAGGTGTGGTCCAGTAAAGGGGGAGAGGTCGGTTTCCCAGGGTCAGGTCCCAGAGTTTCGGGGGATGGAGAAAAGGAGGAGCAGCACCTCAGGGTCCGGCCAGACTGAAGGGTTGTGATGAATCCCAAAGATACTGATACCGCAGGTGGTTCCTGTCCAGGATAAAAGGACAGTCAGAAGAGGTTTGCTGATCCATAGGACCACCACCATCCCCAGGACATCCTCCCCGTGATGATGTTGGCACCTTTGGGAATGACCCGGCCATCCGGGAGCGCAACATCCTGAGCGCAGCAGCGGGAGATGATTACGACTGGGGGGTGCAAGCGCAGACTCTCCTTGATGCACATGGTCAGGAAAGGCAACTGGGCCAGGTCCTCCCTATGGAAATTCCCCCACCCAACAATTATCTGTGGAGCAAAACTGAAGACTCCTCCTGTGCCATTGGCACCGAGTGAAGCACGCTTACTAGCTCCCTGTGACCCTTAGACCTATAACAAAATTCATTCCTGGTGGACCAAAGACTTAAGCATTAGAAAAATCAAAATCATAAAAATACTAGAAGAAAATTTGGCCTGGTGTTTTTTAGAACTATTTCTGATCAAATCAAGCAAAAGTATCTTTAAAGTAATACATTTGTATGGATAAAGCTTCTGAAAATTATAAAATAAGCTAACAAAAAAAGAAACAAATATCCTAAAGGGATTATAAGGTTATTTGATTAAAGAAGATTCACTCTATACTCTAGGGTGAGGTGACTTACTGTCATAAAGGTGTCAATTCTTTCTAAATTAATAAATTCAATGCAATCTGATAAAGATCTAGCTGGATTTTTTTCTTTTTTTTAGAACTTGCCACACTCTTTGGTTCTTTCTTAATTTCTTTCTTCCTTTCTCCCTCCCTGCTCCTACCTTTGGTGCTGGGTATGGAACCTAGGGCCTTGCATATGTTGTGGAAGCACTCTACCACAGCCACACCCCCAGCCCAACAACCTTATTCTAAGTGGAAGAGTTCAAGTTCATCAAGAGCTATATCCATTTAAAACTAAAGACTGGGCTATTGTGGCTTCCCGTGGTAGCCCACAGTATGTCTGGACACAGAATGCTCTTTTATTTTTGCTTTTATCTTTTCCTCCTTTTGTTTGGCTCAAGTTTTCTCTACAGAGCTAGTTCTTCCCTTACCCCTTCACCCCTCACTTTTCAAATAAACTTTTGGCACTTTAAAAAAAAAAACTGAAGAAAAGGAATGCGGTCTACCAGTTTTTAAAACCTGTTACAAAGGTATAATAAAAAATAAAAATAATGTTTACAAAACTATGGCACAGCAGCAATAACAGGAAAACACACCATAGAAGAGTAGAAAGCTCAGAGTCAAATAATAATAGATGAAAATTCAACACTGGTAGAAACTCCATGTATTTGTAGACATATCGATAGATGGCCGGGTGGAAGGTGTTCAGACAATTCGCAATATGGGAAAAAAGGAACTGAGTCCTTGTCTCCTCCATATATAGGATGGAGTCTCTTATATTTGAAAAGTTAACTATATGGTTAATTAGTGTATCTATCATGTCCAATATTTATTATTTCTTTGTGGTGGGATTTTCAAAATCCTTTCTTCCCACCAGGTGTGGTGGCACACATCTGTAATCCCAGCACTCAGGAGGCTGAGGCAAGAGGATTGCCATGAGTTCAAGGCCAGTCTGAACTAAGAAGTGAGACTCTGTCTCAAAAACAAAAATCTTCTCTTCCAGCTATTTTGAAATGTGCAATACATTATTGTTAACTATAGTCACACTGCATGCAGCACAGAATTATTTCCTAACTATAATTTTGCACCCATTTACTCTTGCACTTAAGTTGTTTTTTTGTTTTTTTGTGTATTTTTTGGTACCGGGGATCGAACTCGGGACCTTGTGCTTGCGAGGCAGGCACCGGAACCACTGAGCTAAATCTCCGGCCCCCATTTACTCTTTCTACCCTTTCATCCCCTTCCTACCCCAATTAAGGGAAAAAATTATAAAGCTTAAACAAAATAACATTTTTGTGACCTAGCAGTAAGAACATTTTTAAGAATTCAAAAAAAGGGGCCGGGGATTTAGCTCAGTGATTCTGGCACCTGCCTCACAAGCAAAAGGTCCTGAGTTCGATCCCCAGTACCAAAAAAAGAACAAAGAAAAAGAATTCAAAAAAACCACAAAATGTAAGACAACAGGGGCCAGGGATTTAGCTCAGTGGTTCCACCACCTGCCCTGCAAGCACAAGGACCCGAGTTCAATCCCCAGTACCAAAAAAAAAAGAAAAGCAAGACAAGAAAAGATACATATGCATGAAAATGAAGGATTTCTGTGTAATAAAAGTTCCACATTAACAATCAGATGAGAGACTCATAGATGTGTACAATCAATAGATAGATCTAGAACAATATTTAGAATACACAGGAATTGCAGCAAATTTACAAGCAAAAGGACAGGTGACCCAACAGAAAAATAGACAAAGATTAATATAGGAATTCACAGAAGACTTCCTTTGCTAATCCATCTTGGACTTGCCTCTGATCTTGGCTCCTATTCCCACTAGGCAATAATGGCAGAATCAGTAAAACATCTTCCCCCCATCTCCACCTGAAGAGCAGAGCCATAGAGGGGCTCAGGAACAGGCCACGAGGACCGGACTCACCATTCAATTTCTTCAGGCTCACGGGCCCTCAGAAGCTCCTGCACCTCCTGCCGGCAGCGCTCCTGGTATTCTGGGTGCCGGGCCAGGTTGTACAGGGCCCAGGAGAGACCACTGGCCGTGGTGTCATGGCCTGAAGAACAGCCAGGGAGGCTTGCGTCTGTGGGCTGCTTCAGCACCACAGGGTGGACAGCGCTCGCCCATTGGGACCCCAGGGAGGAAGGAGGGATGCGAAGCATGGGCAGAATAAAGATCCTGGGCTGGGGATTTAGCTCAGTGGTTCTGGTGCCTCACAAGCGTAAGGTGCCAAGTTCGATCCCCAGCACCAGAAGAAAAAAATAGAGAGACCCAGGAGGGCCTTGCCACACCCTGGGATGAAGAGACCCATGTGAAATCTATAGACTTTCACTAGAACCCTCACCTGCAAACATGAAGGTGTCAGCCTCTGCTCGTATGTCTGAATCTGACAGTTCTTTCCCATTTTCATCCTGAAGACAAACCAAGACCCTCAAATCATACTAGGTCTGAGAGACCCTGAATCTAACCTGAAACAGGCCATGAAGACCCATTATCCAAGCAGCATTCCTCTCTTGTCATCTCCAGAGCCTGCTCCCCAGGATTCCTCCTTTGTCTCCTATTTGTTCATCCATCTTCAGAATCACTTCTAAATCCTACCTATAATTTGTCTCTCCCTTCCTCAAGCATCTTCCATAGCTCCTCAATACTCTCTGAAGCAAATTGAGCTTCTTCTATCTGACATTAAACATCAAGGCCCATGCTCCTCTTAAATTCAGATCCCGGAGAGGCCCACCTTGGCCAGCAGGAGCACATCAATGAAGTCCAAAGTCTTCAACTTAGCCTTGGCCTTGAGAAAATCATCAACACCCTGGCTGGCCAGGGTGCAGCGCCGCTCCTGGATGACAGCATCTGTGAAGTTGTGCACCAGGTCGCAGGCCCTGCGGAAGCGTCGCCCATCGGGAGTGAAGTGATACAGGAAGTCTATGTATTGAAAGAGCTGCTGGTGCCTTTTGATTATGAGGGAGCTGAGCTCCAAGATGGCAGCAATATATTCACTGGGATGCCTACAGGACCAAGGCAGAAAGACAAGGTAACTCCTCAATGCCCAGGGGACCCTGGAGCACGACCACCCCCCCCAGCCAGACTCCAACATCCAGTCCTGCCCATTCCTCCATGGCTTCTTTCCAATGTTTTCCACATTCTCCACCAGGCTCAGAGCACCTCCTCTCCAGGTCTCCTTGCATCCTGTGTCCATATGACAGTCCTCTACCAAGTTAAACAGGCATGCTCAGACACCACCCATCATTCCCTAGAAACCTCAGGATCAGATTCACACCTCTTTGATAGGTTTTTCAATGTCCTCCAGTTCTAGTTACTGCCTACCTCTCCAACCTCAACTCCCAGGTGCCTGCTCACTCCATTGCATAGGCTCTGCTCATTCAAGCCCCCTTGTCTTTATTCAAACAATCCCACCTACCTGGAAAGACCATTCTCTTCCCTTCCTTTTCATTCAATGCCCAGGTCTGACCCACCTCCTGCAGGAAGGGTCTTCTGGTCAATCCTCCCTCCTCCACCTCCTCCCTTGGCTCCATGGGCCAGGGTCCCATTCCAGGAAAAGGACTCACTCCTGACAGTTGCTGTCAAAGCTGAACACACATTTCTGCAGACTGTCCAAGGTCATCAGGCTGATGTGCTCAAACATGTCCAGACGGGTGCTGCCCCATGAGGCCACGCGCTGCCACTTGGCCTGGCCAGAGAAGGAGACAGAGACAGGACCAGGCTTTGGCTCCCTTGAGCCCTTCCCCAACTCCCAACACCAGATCCAGCCTGCTGACCCCAGGGAGGACCAGGCGTGGGTGGTTGCAGACCCGGTTACTCTTAGGAGACAAAAGTTCAAGCAACAAGTTAAATTGACCTGCATTGGTGTTAGACAAACCAGGAAAGGGGTGACCTTGGCCAAGCTCTCTAACCTCTCTGATCCTGGGTTTCATCATCCATAATACAGCAATCATAAACATCTCTACTTTAAATCATGGAACCGGCATATTATTTCTGGTACACAGTAAATGCTCAATAAGTGTTAGCTATCATACCCTCTTCATCGTAAGCCTAGTGTTAGATGAATGGAGAAATGTCCACAAGTTTTCATCCTCCCTCTACCCTCTGTCTTTGCAATGAGGCTTTGCAGCCCCTTCCATTAGCAGGTGATGCCTGTTCTCCAACTCCTGAATCTAACCTGCACTTGGGACTTGCTTTAGCCAAGGGAAGAAGGCATGATGGACTAGTTCTGATCCCAGGTATCAAGAGGTACTGAATATTGCTATTCCCTAGGGTCTGTCATGCTATCAAGCGCAGGCCACCCTCCTGAAAGGTCAGAAACAAATGGAGGAGCCCAGGGAGCCCACCGAGGCCCATGAGTTTTAAAGTGGTGTGCAATGCTGAAAGAGCTACAGTCTCCAACACTACTGTGGGTTTCCAGAGCTTTTGTGAGGGACTCCAGAAACTAAGGCCTCCTGAACACCTACTACATGCTGGGAACATGACTTCATGTGAGCTAGAGATGATTATTCTCATTTTACAGAAGAGAAAACCGAGTCTTGGAGAGGAAAAGTAAGGACGCCCAAGCCACCCAGCAGAGACCAGAATGCAGACCCGATCTGCCTGAAGCTACTCCCCCTTTCCCAAATCTCCACTGAGCCCTAGGCTGGAGAAGCTCACATGCATGATGTTCACGCTCTTGTTAAAAGTCTTCACATAGGGCTTCAGGATGTCAAAGTGGAAGGCGGGTGTCAGCAGACGGCGGTGGAGACTCCACTTGTCACCAGCACTCACCAAGAGTCCATCTCCTGATGGGGTAGCCATGGGCAGTGGGCAAAGGCAGCTCCTTCCCCAGGCCCCCAGTTGTTCCCAAGCCCCTTCACCTCCAGGTACTCACCCAGCCAAGGTCTTAAGAAGCCATACAAAGTCTTTTCCTTGGGCGCAACAGCTAACAAGAACAAGAACAATCAGGGACCACAGAATACAGTAAGAAATGGAAGCTCTCAGCCAAGAGTCTGCACTTTCTCCCTCCAAGCTCACCATGGAAGGAAAAGATCCAGGGACAGAGGAAGCATGGAGGAGGGGGATGCAAGGAGGGAACCAGATCAGGAAGCAGCAGCAGGGCAGAGCAAAGGTACAACACATCCGAGCGTGCCCTGACACAGTACCTACATGGTGCCATATGTTCTGTGACACCGAGCATGGTTCAGCACTATACAACACACCTTTACAGGGACCTAGGACACCCTGTCTGTGTCTTAGGCATCTCCTGTGGCAGGAGATGATACACTCTCTTCTGTGGTATCTCCTGACATGCACTGGGGCCTAGGACATGAATGCAGCTTGTGTTATTATGACTTGTTATGGATGTCACCTACATGGCCTTCCCTGACATGGCATGTGGTCTGATGTGGACCTGAGACAGTCTGTCATGACCTAAGAGTGTCCTATAAGTGCATCCTAAACAGGACTCACTATTGCCCTGTTAATGTCCCAGATAGGACTCAGGCTCCCTTGGGATTCTCCTCCACTCTATGTCAAGCATTTAATGGGCTGCTTTACCCTTAAAAAGACCAGAGGACACTGTTCCCTCCTTCTGTGCTGGGCTTCACCCACAAAGAGCCTCCACTGCCCCTCCAGCTACTTGAGCAGTCCCAGAGCCTACTAAACACAGTGGACAGTCTAGGGTCTGCTGGATCCTCCCCCACGATACTCTGAACATACCTTCCCTCCCAAATCACCCTCCAGTTTAGTCTCCCTTCCACCAGAGGCCTCTGAGGTGGACAAGAATGCACAGGACTAACAGGAAGGCCTTGGTATTCTTTACGACCTTAAGTCATGCTGCCACCCTGAGCTCCCAGGAACTTCCCATCTCACAGGGATGCTGGTGGATGGACGTGTCCTCCTTTCTAGCATCCATCCCCTTTCCTTTGAAACCAGCACCTCATACCTCAACCCATCCCAATCCAAGCAGTTGGGAGAATGGGCATGGCCACCAAGAACTGAGCCTACAACCACAACAATCGAGTCAGCAATCCAGTCACAGGTACTGGATAAAGAACTGATCCTGTCACCAACCAGGCAAATTTCAGAGAATTCCAGCAAGGGATTTAGTTCAGTGGTGCTGCCGCCTGCCTCGAAAACACAAGGACCTGAATTCGATCCCCATCCCCCCCAAAAAAGAGAGAGAGAGAGAGAGAGAATCTTGGAACTCTTCTAGAAGTAGGGGGAATTTTCCCTAGGACTCAGCTTTACCAGCACATGCAAGAAACCATCACAGAAGGAAACAGAGCTAAGATGTGAAGACTCCTGATGGCTTTGTTTGAACACCCGGACCCAGTCAGGGCTGAGGACCACATTCCTTGGACTTCACTGTGAATAGATTCCCTTTCTTTGCTTAGACCACACAGAGCTGAGTTTCCATAACTCACAAACTGAGAGGCCTCAGCAACCAGGAAAACCAGGGAGTTGACTGGCTGCAGAGACACCATCTCAGCTGGTGTTTCCCCTTCCTCTGCCCACCTGGCCTGTCCAGGGATGGGAAGGACTAGGAGCAGAGCAAGGAAGAGGCCAGGGCTTGGGGTCTGACAAATACCTGGGGCCTGAAGCAGGGGAGCAACGAACTTAGGGTGGATGAGCCTCAGGACTGGGTAGACGGGCCCCATCCACCAGAGGTGGACATCGAGGAAGTCACGGCCCAGGTCCGAGATCAACTTCATGCCTTCCTCGTCGCTCTTTGCCTGAGGAAGGAGAGACTACAACCAATCTTGGCAGGGTCTCATATGCTACTGCTGCCTGTATCCAGGAAGCTACTGTCGCATCCATCTGCCCACTCCACCCCACCCCTCCAGCCTCTATTACTGGGATCGTTCATCTACACCTCTCACTGGGTCAAATTCGACTGTCCATGTCCGTCCTTTTCGGTATCTGTCTGTCTTTGTGCTGCTCTCTGACCCCTAACTCTTTTTAATCTGTTTCCTTCCTCAATTGGTATACAGAGGATAGATGGAAGATAGATAGATAGATAAGATATATTGCTGAGCTAGATGGATACACAAAACATACATAGATGATACATAGAGCTATATGATAAAAGAGACATAGACAGGGAGACACAGATTGTTGATAGATAGGTCTGAAAGATTGTAGTTTGATAGATAAATAGATAAGAGAGACAGGTGGAACACAGATATGGATACACAGATGCTAGGAGAGAGGAGATGAGGGGTATACAGAAGTCGGATAGATAAGATACATGCCAGGTAAGATAGATAGGTAGATTTTATAGGATGAGATAGGGAGAGATGGATAAAATTGATTAGATGGATAGGTAAAGCCAGGCGTGTGCCTCCCTACTGTAATCCCAGCACTCCAGAGGGTAAGCAGGAGGATCACCTCAAGTGTGAGGCCAGCCTGGGCTACACAGGGAGACTCTGTTTCAAAAAAAAAAAACATAGCTAAATATAGGCATGTGTGCGTGTGTGCACGTGTTTCCTTTCTCCCTGTTCAGCTGCCCCTCTCTGTCTCTTTTGCTCCTTTGTTTCCCTCATGATTTCTGCTGTCTCTGTCTGTTTCTCTCTTCCTCTCCTACTCTCTGTATGTACATCTTCCTTTCTTTCTATCTGGTATATCCTCTCTCTCTCTCTCTCTCTCTCCCCCAACACCTTACCATTCACCCCACTCAAAGACCCCGACTCAGCATAAACTCACAGTTCATTTCACTCTGTTCAACTCTCTGCCTTGTCTCTAGCTCTGGCCAAGCACCTTCTCAGCTTTGCACCAAACAATCTTGGGCCTCCTTCTCCCAGTCTTGCTTCCCAGCCCAGGGGAGATATGAGGAATTCACTTCAGAGGGAACCTTTTTTTTTTGGGTACCGGGGATCGAACTCAGGACCTTGCGCTTGCGAGGCAGGCACAGTGCCACTGAGCTCCATCCCCGGCCCTCCACGACCTTTTTATAAAAAGGTCATGGAAAGAGAGGCCAACAGTGGAGACAGAGGAGCCGCAGGGAGCTTGGGGGAGACAGGGGAGGGTCTCATCCTGGAATCAGAAGAGGTTCGTGGAGAGACAGGGAAACCAGCACAGCAGAGAGCTGCTAGGAGGTAGACAAGATGGGCTGGAAGAACATGAACGTGATGAGGTGGAGACCAGTTGAGGGGGGAATGAGGATGGGGAAGCAATGAATGAAAAGGAGTCTTTGGGTGGCACAGAAAGCAGATAACAGGGTTGGCACAGAATAGGTGCATTTGAAGTGAGTCGGTAAGATTTACGTGGGACCTGCCTTGCAGCATTGTCATGGAGAAGACACCAAAGACATGAGTGGCTGAGTTGGTCCCAGGTCAAGGTCTTGCCACCATCCATGAAGGAAAGCCCCACTGGTGAGGGACTTCAGCTCTTACTATGGGAAACTGAGCTAGATGTGGCCAAGGATGGGGAACTGCGACGGAGCAGTAAGACTGGGACTTGGAGGGGATGGAAGTCCTGGAAGATGAGAGGGAGGGTGACCAAGGAAGCTGGAAAGACACAGAGTTGAATCAATGGCATTGGAGCTGGTGTCCTTATGGGTGACGGTTTAAGTTCAAGTTCAAGCTAGGAGGACACAGCGGAGAGCAAAGTGCTTCGGGGGAGGAGACTGGGATGGCAAGTGAGGAGCCCCGTCCCAGGAAGTGGAGCCTTTTGGCAGAGTGAACCCTTCTGAAAAACAAAGTGGTTGGAGTGAGGGTGTCACTCAGGGGCAGAGCGCATGCCTGACCTCTATGAGAGGCCCTGGGTTCAACCCCCACTATAGCAACAAGAGAAAAGAGAGCGGTCACTTTTTACCCAGATTGGGGGGGGGCAGGTGTCCTTTGATATATCTTTGGGGTGGAGAGAGGAAGAGAAGAGGCGACATGGCCCACACCTCTCACACTCCCAGAGGTGTCCCTGCGGGGGGGGGTGGGAGGGTCACAGCTCATTTCCAGGAGGAGGCGACAGTCCAGAGAGATACCGACAGTGGCCTAGAGTCAATGGAGATGGACAAGCACCGACTAGACGTGACCTGGGACAGTGCCCGTGAGGGGCCTCAAATCCAAAGGTGGAAACTGCAGAGTGGGCAAGGGGTCTCTGCTCCGTGCAGCCTACCCCAGGAGCTCCCCCCAGGTCGAGAGGGGGCCTTAATATGGGGAGCACAGGCAGGAATGTGGCCCAGGGAACGGAGGGGGAAAAATGGCTTTGGGTTATGGGGAGGAGAGAAATAGATGTGATGGGCCAGTAAAGAAAGAGGAGTCCCCCGAGCTTTCCTCGCTCCTCTGCCATCACTGACTCCAGCCCACACCCCAATTCCCGGCGCCTGATCCCCTTCCTGGCCCCTCAGGAATCCCCCCACCCTGACACCCCAGACCTCCTCTGCCGCCCTACTCACCAAACCCAGGTGACCCCAAAACCAGCTGCGTCTGGGAGGCTGTGGGAAACACCGGAGGCGACAGCAGTAGCCATAGAAGGCGATGATTCGGGCCAGAACTCGGACCAGCAGCCAGCAGGCTCCGGCCAGCAGGGGGAGCTGCCACAAGGAGGCTGCTAATGGCACCGGGCCCAGCCAGGACAGGCTCAGCTGGGTCATCCTGACTCCCAAATCTTTAGGAAAGGGACAGAGAACTCCAGGGACTCTGGAGAGGGGCAGGGACTGGAAGAGATGGGAGAGGACAGGGAGGTGGAGGGAGACCCAGGGATTAGAGGAAGAAAAGGCAGAGGGGAGAAGAGGAAGGCGACACAGGAAGGAGAGAGTAGGAGAGAGCGGGTGAGAAAGAGAAACAGAGAGAGGCAAGGGGGGTGGTTAGAGTGTGAACTGGTGCAGCCTGGGATACAGGGGCAGAGCCAGGGGCTCAGCTACCCAGAAACCACCATGGTTCTGGGCCAGTTCCCTCCTGGGGGCCAAACCCAACCTGGGGTCAGAACCCTCCATGCCCCTCCAGCCCGGTACCTTCTGTGAGGAGCAGCCTGTGCCTCACAAGCTCCTCTCCCCTCCTCTAGAACTTCCTGATCCCAGCTCCAGACCTCAAGGAAGCTGTGGGAGCCTGGGCCCCTGGGCCAATCCTGACAGAGCTGGCTGCTCCTCCCTACCTGGGCAGGAGGCCAAGGCTCAAAAGTAAGAAAGCTAGGTGCAGAGGGAACGGCTCAGGGCCATTGGAGCCTCAGGACTCAGCACCTTCTGCTCGAATGAGGAGCAAAGGTGAGTCTGTGCCCCCTGTTTACAGCAGCCCCTGCTCTTCCAAGGCCAGCAGACAGCAGATAAAAAGCAAGAACCAGAGTTCAGGTGCTGGGAAACCAGGGCCAGCCCAAGTCTGGTCCCAGAATCTGAGCTCTTCTCCAAGTGTGGGCAGAGAGAACCGCGGGCACCACTTCTCAGTGCAGAATAAGGAGACTCAGAGAAGCCAGGCACAGTGGGGTACACCTGTGATCCCAGTACTTGGGAGGCTGAGGCAGGAGGATTGCCGAAAGTTCAAGGCCAGCCTGATCTACATCTAGTTCGAGGCCAACGTGAACTACATAGCAAGACCCCGTGTAATGGTTTATAACTAGATGACCTTGGGCACTCATAGGGGCTTTTGGGAGGTGATGGGATAATAGGCCATCATCCTCCTCAGGGGAGGAGGTACCACTGAGCAGGTGGCCTGGGAGGGTCTCTCTCCCTGCTTCCTTCTTGTTAACAGTCTCCTTCCGGCTCCCTCCTCACCCCTCACCCTTGCCTCCTGCCCTGGAGCCAGCTGACTATGGACTAAAATCTCTACAAACTGTGAGGCAAAGTAAACCTATGCTTCCTTAAATTGTAGGTGTCAGGTATTTTGCTCTAGCAACAAAGAAAGGAACTAAGACACCCTGTCTCAAAACAACAACAACAACAAAAAACTGGGCTTGGTGTGGCACACATATAATCCCCACACTCAGAAGACTGAGGCAGGAAGATGGCTGCCAGCTTGAGGGCAGCCTAGAAAGCAAAAGAAAATGTAAATTTTAAAAATTCAAAAATCTTAAAAATAACTAGGAGGCTCAGAGTTGGAAGTCTGTGACTCACCAGCTTCACAGTCTGACGAGAGTTCAAGTCTTGCCTCCAAGCAGCCCAGAGTGTGGGTTGAGCCATGACTTCTAGATGTCAGAACCAGAAATCCAGCCTCATGGGAGTCATCTGGGTCAGATTCTAGAGATAAAGAGCTGAGCTGGAAAAGCACATCTGGAGGCTGGGCTCAGAGTCAGAGGTCAGAGGTCAGAGGTCAGAGGGGGAGGCATGAGAGGAGGGAGAAAGGTTAAGAGGAGCCAGGAGCAAATGGGGTCCAGACAGGAGAGGGCCGAGCCAGGGACCCTGAACAGAGTCCTTGTTCTGCCCACTGCAGTGCTGGTCCTCTTGGGGCTCAGTCTTCCATCTGGGAAATGGGGTGTTGACCATAAAAGGCCACATCTTGTCCAGATACTCTCCTGAATGCCCTTCGTGCAGGTCTTGACCCCTCTGCAGTGAGTGCGCGCGCACACACACACACACACACACACACACACACACACACCATGGTCAGCCCCCCAGCTGGAGGTGGGTTTGAAGAATGGAGCTGTATGATGGAGATTCCTCTGGCAGCCCAAAGAATATTGGGAGGTGCCCAAGCTTTCCTTCCCCCGCCCATGTGACTTCTAGCCCCACCAAATTCAGCTTCTGGCCCTGCAGGATCCTGGCACCCTCAGCCTCAGCCTGCTGGGGTGGATCCACCTGCTGGCAGGTCCATAGCGAGAGGCATTTAGGTTATTGGTGGCATAACTTTGAAGGAGATGTTGAGCCTGGGCCCCTCCTCTCTCTCTGCTTTTGGGACACCATGAAGTAAGCAGCTGTTCTACTACGTGGTGCCCACCACAATGTTCTACCTCACCACAGCCAGAAGCAATGGAGCCAGCTGGCCATAGCCTGAAACCTTCAATCAAAATATACTTTGTTTCTTCCTAAGTTAGAATATCTTATCCACCTCCTTAAGGCTCCAACAGTGCCACAGCTGGAGACCAAACCCTCAACACATGGGCCTTGGGGGAACTTAAGATCCAAACCATCATAGAGATAGATAGATAGATAGACAGACAGACAGACAAACAGATACTATTGACTCTATTTCTCTGGAGGACCCTGACTGATATACAGATGAAGTTTAATTCCCTTCTCCTTGAATGTGGGCTGTCTCCACAACTTGTAGGACTTCAGAGTCTAAGTCCTAAGAAGACTGATAGCTGCCTTCCTTGGAATACATGCTCCTGGGCCCAGCTTCCATGTTAAGAGGAGCCCCGGGCAGCCCTGCAAGAGGCCCCATCAAGAAGACCTGAGAACCCAGCTACCCAGCTGGCTCCAGCCACAAGAGCAAGCTGCCTTGGAAGTGGCTCCTCCAGCCTCACAGAAGTTGCCCCCAGCGGACACCCCGAAGATGTCCGTGCTGCAGTCTGGCCAGATGACACATTTTCTACATTCACAGAAAAAGTCCTATACTTACAGGCTTTCATGTGTAAGAGAGGGGTTGCGGGGCCCTGTGCCGCTGAGCTACACCCTCAGCCATACACTTCACAGTTTTCCCATCAAGCCTGGGTAAAAGGGAGAGAGAGAGAGGACAGGGTGAGGGGGATGAGAGCGAGGCAGAAGGAGGAAGAGTAAAGAAGAGAAAGGAAGAAGAGGAAAGAGAGGAAGGAGGAGGCGAGGGAGAGGGAGAAAATGCTCAAAGAGCACTTCCCTGCAGCCAGTCAGCCCCAAGCTTGCGTTTGACAGTGTTACTACTTTGTCTATGACAGAACGAGGCCCTCAGCATCAGCTCTGAGCCTTGGGTCTGTCTGGCTCATGCATCGGAGATTTTGTTGGCTGTGAATATTCCTTGTTCTTTCCCACATCAAGGAGGAGGCTCTTGGCAGAGGAGCAAGTGAGAGGCTGGGACTTAGCCAGCCAAGCTCTGCTACTCTCCAGCTATGTGACCACAGGCAAATGACTTCCCCTCTCTGAGCCCCGCTTGCTCCTTGGTAATAAGGGAGCCACAATAGGCTGCTGAGGATTGGGAAAGGCAGCCACCATGCGTCTTAGTTGGGGCTCCCCTGAAGCAAGGATTCAAGTGCGAATATCTTACTGGGGCGTGACAGAGTGTAGAGTTCTCCCTCCCTCCGTTTCGATACCCACCCGCCCACCCGCGTACACACACATGCACGCACACGCAAAGTCACACGCGTATCTTGCACCCAAACACGTGCACATACGGTCCACCAAATGCGTACACGGCCCCTCGTACAGTCACACACCCACACGGGCTCGAGGAGATGAGCGCACATTGACCTCTCAGAAATAGAACCGGAGCCTGTTGTCTCAGAATCGCCCAGCAGAGGGAGCCACTGTCACGCTCGAGACGGGAGTCGATGCCAGCCTAGGTGTTTTAAGATTTACACCGCGCAGTACAAATGGCCAAATATGAAAAAGGCTCAATGTCGCCGGCCATTAGAGAAATGCAAATTAAAACAACACTGACATTCCATCTCACGCCAGAAAAAGGCGGGGGGGACGCTTCTATATTGTTGTTGGGACTGTAAACTAGCACCACCACTATGGAAATCAGTGTGGAGATTCCTCAAAAAAGTAAAACTAGAAATTGCATTCGACCCAACTATTCCCCTCCTATGTGTCTTCCCAAAAAGAGATAAAGACCTCATATTACAGTAATCCATCCATACCCATGTTTACAGCAGCACAACTCATAGTAGCTAAATCTTGGAAGCAGCCAATGCCCACCAAAAGATGAACTGATAAGGAAAATGTGGTATTTATACACAACAGAATACTACTCTGCCATAAAGAAGGATAAACTCGAGTCATCCATGGGAAAATGGATGCACCTTGAGACCACAATGTTAAGTGAAGTAAATCAGACACACAAGTTTAACTATCACATGGTTTCTCTTATATGAGAAACCCAAAGTATAAATAAAGAGCAAAATAAAAGATAGATAACAGGGAGATCGGTCTTTTGCAAATGGGAAGAGGATTTGAAGATGGAGGGAGGGAAGAGAAAGGAGATGTATTGCCGGGTATGGTGGCACACACCTGGAATCCCAGCACTGAGAGGCTGTGCCAGGAGGATCACCACGAATTCGAGGCCAGCCTGAGCTACACCGTGAGTTCAAGGCTGGCCTGAACTACACGGAGAGACCCTGTCTCAAAAAAAACAAAAGAGAGAGTGAGAATCAAGGGCCAGGGATTTAGCTCAGTGGTGCTGAGGCTGCCTCGTAGGCATAAGGTCCTGAGTTCAATCCCCAGTACCAAAAAAGAGAGAGAGAATTGAGGTGTATTATGTACATATACCAACTCCTCATGACGAATGTGACTGAACATGGTGTACAGCAAACATGTACTATTAAAAAATAAAATAAAAAAGAATTGCACATGCAAGTGTACCAGAGTAGACCCAGGGAATCGGGCTCTGCACTTCCCTCTCCTCCCTCCCTCTATCCACCCTCACAGCCCTTGATGGAAACGTGTGCTTTGCAAACACAGTGACCCGGTGAGGTCCACAGGACAAGGGAAAACCGGGCGCGGAGACAGGCAGTCACCTGCTCAGTCACTGCCAGGAAGCTGAGCCCACAAGACCAGGTTGGATGGCTGGCTGGTGGGCTGATTAGTTGGTCGGCTGGTTTTTGCTCAAAGACGACAGGATTGTGCCAAGGTGAGCAGGAGGTGTTTTGCAAACCATCGGAAGCACAATGAGAGCAGCAGCACCAGCCAGAGGCAGGAGGGGAGCTCCAGTCTCCACACTCCAACTCCACCCCAGCGGACCTCAGAGAGGGGCTCCTGCCGAAGATCCCAGGCCCTGTTGCTCCCTGCTGCAAAGAGAGACTTAGGGACCTGGAGGGAGCCTGGGGAGTGGGCCCTAAAAGGGCTCCAGATCCCGTCTGAGACCCTGGCCAAAAGCATTGTTTGGGGGACTCAAGCTGCTTCCCTCTAAGGTCTGTTTCCACCTCAGTTAGAGAAGTAATGAACAATGAATGAACCAAGAGTCCGGTCTAATGAGACTTCAGTGGAAGAGCACACAGGAAGCATTCCAGTCTGGGGATGCCCAGGACTTGGTCTTTAACCCCTGTTTTGATTTTGGGGGAGTTTTTTGAGTCAAGGTCTCACTATGTACTTCAGGCTGGCCTTGAACTCTTGGCTATCCTCCTGTCTCAGCCTCCTCAGTGCTGGGATTATAGGTGTGCGCCACCATGCTAAAGCCTGTACATTTGCACCCTGTTGGCCACCCTTCCTCCGTTCTGCTCCACTCCCCAGATCTAACCTCCCTGGCCTCTCCTGCGTTAGTGTTGCAGTTCTCCCAGACCCCCAGTGCCACCCCCCTTGAATTCACCCAGCGCCAGGGGGCTTGGGTTTGCAGGATTTGCCACAGGTTGTAAATAATCAGAATTATTTGTTCAGTATCTGCGTCCCACCCTTTTCAAGGACAGGAATTGGGCCTGTCCTCAAGTAGTCATTTAATGAATAACGATATATTGACAAAATAAAGGAAAGCACAAACTTTCCCGAAACATCTGAGTTTATGTCCAGAGACAAACGGCTTCCTGGCTTCCTGGCACGCAGCCTCCCAACTCCCAGACCGGCGGGTCTGGACTACGGGGAGGGAGACAGGAGGCATCCAAACCCCCTGTACTTTTTTTTGGTATAACCCCCGTGCTTTTTTTTTGGTATTGGGAATCGAACTCGGGACCTTGCACTTGCGAGGCAGGCGGCGGAACCACTGAGCTAAATCCCCGGCCCTGAACCCCCATGCTTTTAGTCTTCAAAAATCAGAACACTTAAGCAGAGGGTCTGACAACAGGGAAGCTAGGAAGAGGCTTGGAAGCTCTGGGTTTACAAAACCACCACAAAAGCACACAGCCGGAGTCCTGGGATGATGCCTGAACAGTCTGTCCGGGTGAGGGGGAGACCTGAGAAAGGTGATGTCCAGGTGCACGACTCTGACTCAGCCCTCAGCTTCCAAGTCTTCCATTTAGAAGCCAGGCTAGGGTCAGCCAGCAGGGAGGGGCGGGGCTGAAGTCCAAGAGGGAGTCTTAGGCCTTCCACAGGCTCGGTGGGAGGAGCCTAGAAAGCTGGCTCCGCGGGGGCTTGGCCTGAAGACGTCAATCCACGGAATCCAGGGGTAGCCTGTGAGGCCGAGGAGGCGGGGCCGAACCTGGTTCCTCCGGCTGGGGGGCAGGTGCGGGACTCAGGAGGCGGAGCCTCGCCTTGAGGGGCGTGGCCAGCACCAACAGGCTGCTCAGCGAGGCCGCCTTATCCTCTAGCGACAGCCTGGACTTGTAGGGGCTTGATCTATGCACTCAGTACTTGGGGGGCGGGGCCTGGGCCCTCAGGGGCGGGGCCTGGGTCTCCCTGGGCGGGGCTTCGGGCCCCAGCGGAGGCAGCGGCTCCACGTTGAGCCAGATGCCATTCTCCGTGCGCAGGATGAGCTCCGGTTTCCTTCGCACCTTGCGCGTTCGGTCCACGCTCAGGCGGAAGCGCAGCAGTGTGAGCGCCACGGCCACACGCATCTCCGCCATGGCGAAGCTCTGTCCGATGCAGTTCCTGCCGAAAGAGGTACAGGGGCTTAGGCCCAGCCGCCAAGGCGCCAGTAGAGGTTGGAAGGCTGAGGCAAGAGCACCTGTTCCTCAGTTCCCCTGGCTGTTCCTCCCACTAGTGGCTTGGACTGGGGGAAATAGAGGCCTTACCTGGGTCCTGCGGAGAAAGGCACGTAGGCCAGCGGGGAGCGCTGGTGTGGGTTGTCTGGGTCAAAGCGGTAAGGGTTGTACACCTAGACAGGAACAGACGGGAATAAGCAGGGTGGGGGCTGGCCCAGCCACTCGGGCCTGGCTCCCACCTCCTCCTCTAGGCATGAGCCTAGGGGGAGGCAGGGCCACCTCCTCCATTCCACCCCACCCTCACTACAGTGCGACCTCGCCTGCCTCCGCCAGACAAGCCGAGCTCCTTCCTCCCTCAAGGCCTTTGCACTTGCAGTTTCCTCTGCTTGGAACACATTTCTCCCTGCCCTGCACACCCTTCAAGTCTGAGTTCAAAAATCTCTTCCTCAGCAAGGCCTTGCTGACTGCTTGAACCAAAGCGCCCCCTGCTGGCTCCACCATTTTTATTTCTCTGGGGCTGACTCAATACCCAAAATGATCTTATGTACGTTTATGCTTATTATCTTCCCCAGAAATTTCACTGCAAATACCATGAAGGCAAAGGCAATGTCACTACCAGTCCTCAGTGCCCAGCACAGGGCCTGGCACACAGTAGGTGCTCAGTAGCTCGACCTAATGAATTAGCAAGGAGTGGATGAGTGGATGAGGAGAAGGGTCATGGGCCCTGAAACCAGCTCTCATCCCTGGCCTGGGGCTGTCCTTTCTGGAGAGGAAGAAGCCGAGAGCAGAGATGTTTGGGGCATGTTACGGTTTAAGTAATGACCCCCCCCCAAAAAAAATAACCCTCATGTGCTCAGAAGCAGGGCACTTGGAACTTGATTGGATCAGAGAGCCGTAGGTGATGGTGGGTTGCTGGGGGGTGGCCAGTGGGTGTGGCCGGGAAAGGCGTGGCCTCTCCCCTGGCTCCTCCCTCCCCTCTGCTTCCTGGCCGCCATGCTGTGAGCAGCTTTCCTCTGCCACCCCTTTCCTACCACACCACTTCTGCCTTGGAGCTGCCCAACTATGGACTGAAACCTCTAAAAACCTTGAGCCTCTCCTCCTTAAAGTTGCAGGGGTCAGTTATTGAGTCCCAGAGACGAGAAAGTGACTAAAACAGGGCAGGCACTCACCTTGGAGTCCGGCCACACTGTGGGGTTGTGATGGGTCCCATAGATGCTGACCAAGCAGATAATTCCTGGGGGGACAAGTGGCGTCAGCAGGGCTGAGGGGAGCCAGGGCCTCCCCTGGAAACATCCCCCTCCCCAGTTGTCCCTGGAATTCCCATGAGCCGTTTGCCACTACTTCCCATCTACCGTTTTCTGAAAAATTCTGCTGCCCTATGTACTTCCTCTCCTTCTCCTGAAAGGCCTCAGCATGTCTCTGGCTGCTGTTCAGTCCACATAGGGCTCTTTCTCATTCACAAATATGACATTGCTCATTCTCAGCTCAGCTGCCTTCCTTGGCTCCTTGCTGCCCTCTGGATGGAGTTCAATGCCTCCATCTGGCATTCAAGGCCTTTTACGGTCCACGCCCTGAGGCTCTGCTCCACAACACCCTTGCTCTTTCATCTCCAACCTCCAAGGCTGGCCTCCCGTGCTCCATCTTTCAGGAAGCCCTCCTGGTATTTTTCCGGGAGGGAGGGAATCTTCCATCCGTATTTGGACTTCTCCGGTCCCTACCTCGGTTTTGCTTCTTTTATTATATATATTTTTTGGTCTATTTTTTTGTTTTTTGAGATAAGGTTTCTCTGTGTAGTTCAGTCTGGCCTTGAACTCACTATGTAGCCCAGGCTGACCTCAAACTTCTAGCCATCCTCCTGCCTCCTCCTCCCCGGTGCTAGGGCTAACAGGTGTGCACTACCACACCCAGCAACCTATCTCTCCCTTTAGCCCATTTCTGACCCCATGTGGCTGGGAATGTTTGTGCTCTGCTCTGTCCCCTCAGACTAGGTGGCCTTTAAGGCCTGGGCCTGGAGATGAGGCCTTGCTAGACCTCAGTATTGCTCAAAACAGAGCTTGTGGACTAAGCATGTGGTAGAGCATTTGCCTAGCATGTAGAAGGTGCTGCACTGCCAAAGACCAATAACCACAAACAATGAAAGCTGGACATAGCATGCACACATCTAATCTCAGTTCATTGGGAGGCTGAGGCAGGAGAACTACAGGTTCAAGGTTAGCCTGGGAAACCTAGTAAGGCTAAGCTTCACAATAAAATTGTTTTGTTTTGTTTGAGAGAGGGTTTCACTATGTATTTCAGGCTGGCCTTGAACTCACAAAGATGCTCCTGCCTCAGCTTCCCGAGTGCTGGGATTACAGGCATGCACCACCATACCCCACACACAATAAAGTTTTTTAAAGGATGGGGAAGATAGCTCAGTGGAAGAGCCCTTGTCTAGAATGTATCAGGCCCTGAATTCAAGTCCCAATACCACAAACAAAACAAAAACAGGGCTTGGTGTCCAGAGGGTAGGTGACAAGTCCGAGAAACTAGCCCAGTCCCATCTGCACCGTCTCAGGTGAACCCTCCACACTAACTCCTTCCTTTCCAGCTGGACTCCCCACCTTCATCTCCCCACACAAAACCAGGGTCCCCCATCACCCCAAGAGCAAGAGGCATGCAGAGACCCGCCCTGTGTACGGGGATACTGCAACTGAGGCAGTCATGACCAGGGCCCTGTGGACAGCGGAGCAGCCACATCATCTGGATGGCGCCTGGCCACCAGGAACACACTCTGAGCACCTTTAGGGATGATGCGCCCGTCCGGGAGCTTGATGTCCTCTGTGCAGCGGCGAGAGACCAGGGTGACTGGCGGGAACTGGCGCAGACTCTCCTTGATGCACATAGTGGTGAAGGGCAGCTGGGTCAAGTCGTCCCTGGAGAGAACGGCACTGTGACTGCCCCAAATGTGCACAAGCACACAGACACACACACACAGGCACATGAAGATTCACACACAGACACACAGACATACACACACAGGTGCACATGAAGATTCACACACACACACACACACAGACGCACACACATCCACACACAGTAGCTCGCAGCTGGGCAGGAAACAAGCACAGAGTTTCAGAACAGCCCACACTTCTGCACTTTGCCATTATCCCTTGCAGGTACAGTGAACACTTAGGATCCAAAATACTTGACCACCAGCCAATTAGAACAATGGCCCATCACAACAGCAAGCCCTGGGGCTGGGGGGGGCAGTCCTGGACCCTGCAGGAACCCTTTAACTGAGGGACTATGCAGTGCTCAGGGTGGGTGCTGGGACAGGGTCTCAGGGAAACAGCAGTTGGCGCTCTACGGCCCAGTTTCAGTGTTTGCTTTCTTCTTCCTCCCTCTCCCTCCTCCTTCTTCCCCCTCCCCCTCCGCTCCTTCTGCCATTCCTGGTCCTCCTCTTCCTCCTTCTCCTTCATCTATTAGTGGGGGGGGTTGTTTTGTTTTGTTTTATTTTTGAGGCAGGGTCTTACTGTGTAGTCCAGGCTGGCCTCAAACTTGCAGTGATCTTTCTGCCTCAGCCTCCCGAGTGCTGGGATTACCAGCTTGTGGCACCTTCATCTACTAGATATTGAACCCAGGGCCTTTACACTGAGCTACATCCCCAGCCCTTTGTAATTTTTTAATTTTGAGACAAAGTGTCAGTACGCTGCACAGGCTGAGCTCAAATTTGCAATCCTGTCTCAGCCTTCCAAAGTGCTGGGGTTACAGGCATGCACCACTAAGCCACCATTATTTTTTCATTTTCTTAAAAAGATAGGGGTCTCACTATGGTACCCAGGCTGTCACTAAATGCCTGGGCTCCTGCTATCTTCCTGCCTCACCCTCCTGAGTAGCTAGGACCACTGATGCAAGACACTGCACACAACTAATTCAGTATTTAAAAACCTGTGAGCTGGGCATGGTGGTACATGGCTGTGATCCCAGCACTCAGGAGGCTGAGGCAGGAAGACCACTGCAAGTTCAAGGCCAGCATGGGCTACATGGTGAGTTCAAGACCAGCCTGAACTACACAGAGAGACCCTATCTCAAAAAAAAAACAACAACAACTAGAAGCCAGGGAGGCACAGTGGTGCACACCTGTAATCCCAGGTATTTGAGGCAGAAGGATCACAAGTTCAAGACAATCTTGGGCAAATTTGCAAGACTCTGTCATAAAATTAAAAAATAAAACATAAGGGCTGGGGATTTAGCTCAGCACCACAGCACCTGACTGGCAAGAGTGAGGTCCTGAGTTCGATCCCCGTTACCAAAAACAAAAACCCATAAAATTCAAGGCCAAATTCCCCATACACAAAAAGCTACAGCAGGACTAAAAGCAGGTAGTGTAGGTTGAACTATGTCCACAGGAGGAAAAAAGTATGTTTTTAAAAAAGATACGTTGAAGTCCTGACCCCCAGTACCTCCACATATGATCTTAATTGAAGTTGGGTTGGGAGATGAGGAGAGTTATGCTTCTAGAATCTGCAGTGAGAAGAGTATATCCCAGGGTAGCACTGGCTCAGAGTGAGGAGGCATTGGGAACAAACCAATCCAGCCCAGTTTGGAAGCAACCCCACTGTACTCAACCAAGCCCAGCAACCAGAAGAGCAAGAAGTAAATGCGTGCAAACCACTGAGTGTAGGGGGTGTTTGTTGTGCAGCATCGTGACAGCTGCTGACTAACACACTGTGAGAACTGCTGTACTCTGAGTTAAGCACAGGCAGCACGCTCATCCCCTTGTTATAGCTGTAGAAACTGGATGTCAGGTAGTTATCTGACTTGTCCAAGGTCACACAGTGAATAAGTGGGAGAGATTCACACCCAGGGCTCGGATCTGAACCTGTTCCTTCCACTCCCAGATCCCTCAAACTGACCACTCCAGTTCTTCCAGCTCCCGGCCTTTCATGACTTCCTGGATCTCTTCCCGGCACTTCTCCTGGTATTCCGGATACTTCGCCAAGTTGAACAGCACCCAGGAGAGCCCGCTGGATGTTGTGTCATGACCTGCAGGCAGATCGGGTGTCCAGATGGAGGCCACCATTCCCAGGCAGATGAGTGTCCGTTGTGTGCCCAGGGAGCCAGTAGTGCTCATTCCTGTCCTGCCCCAGCCCAGCCCCTGTCCTCACCCTCGAACATGAAGGTGTCCGCCTCTGCTCGGATGTCCTCATCAGACAGTTCCTTTCCATCTTCATCCTACAACGAGTAGCAGGGGATACTCAGTGCCTTCCTTCCACCCTCTGCAGTGTAGAGCCTCCCCCATTTCTACTCCTAGTGGAGGGAGCTATGCAACTTGTACAAGAAAGATGGGCTGTGCTTGGTGGTGCACACCTGCAATCCCAGCAGCTCAGGAGGCTGAGGTAGGAGGATCACAAGTTTGATGTCAGCCTGGGCAACATAGTGAGACCTCAGGTCAATAAAATCTTTTAAAGGGCTGAGAATGTAGCTCAGTGGTAGAGGATGTGCCTAGCAGGGGTGAGGCCCTGGATTCAATCCTCGGCACACAAAAAAGAAGAAAGATAGGAAGAGGGAAGGAGAATTGAAGATGGGAGAAGGGAGTTCATAGCATCACACATACTTTAATGAGGAGAGTCCATTTTGCAAAGTGTGACATTGAGTGATTTCATTTGTACTCACACAAACTGAGATGGCCATGATGTTACTAGGTGATACACTTTTTTTACACTGCGGGATAGAACCCAGGGCCTCAAGCATGATAGGTAAGTGCTGTACTACTGAGCACATCCCCAGCCTGGGTAATGTTATTTTATGGGGCCATCATCATAAATATGGCCCACTGCTGACCAAAACATTCTATGGCACATGGCCGTATTCACTGAGTAGCTCCTAACACTGAGCATCCTGCTGCAGACCAGACAATGACTTTTTCATTGGGTCTTATGGTTACCATGCCATAACTAAGGAAGCTGAGACTTGGAGGAAAAAGTAATGTGACTAGGTCAAATATCTACTAAGTGGCAGAGCCAGGGCCAGAATCTGGAACTTTTTAGATCCAGAACCCAAGTGCTGCTCAAAAATTCCACAGAGGGAGCCAAGCATGGTGGCACACACCTGTCATCCCAGCACTCTGGGAGGCCGAGGCAGGGGGAACACAAGTTCTAAACCAACGTGGGCAATTCAGTGACTTGGCAAGACTGAGACTCAAAATAAAAAATTCCAAAAGAACTGGGGATGTAGCCCAATGTGAAGGTCTTGGGTACTAGAGAGCACCACCAAGGAAAAAAAATCAACAGAAGGGCTGGGAGTTCTCTGCAAATACTATGCTATTGTATTTACGTCATACATTTTAGCTGGGCATGGAAGCACATAGCAGTAAGCCCAACACTCCCACCTAGATCGCTGAGTTTTAGCATTTATCACTTTGCTAAATTGGTGCATTTCCTGGGGAGGTGATCCAGCAGGCTCCCTCCTCCGGCCCCAGCCTCACCCTGGCCAGGAGTAGCACATCAATGAAGTCCAAGGCCTTGCCCTGCTTGGTCTTCAGCCACATCTCTGCCCCCTGCTGGCACAGCGCCTTCCGCCTTTCCTGGATGACTTCGGTGGTGAAATGGTGCACGATATCACAGGCCCGGCGGAAGCGCCGCCCATCGGCGGAGAGGTAGTAGATGAAATTCAGGTAGTGATGTAGTCGATACTGGCGCCGGACGACCAGGGCGCTCAGCTCAATGATGGCCGATATGTAATCACTCATCTTCCTGCCGGGGACGAGAGCCGTGAGCACCAGGCGATCCCCACAGCTGGGCTCCAACAAGCCTCTCCTCCCGCTCTCCTAGCTTCCTGTCTTGCCCTTCACTCCTTAACCCTAACCCTAACCCTAACCCTAACCCACGATGACAGCTGCCATGTGACACAGCCTAGGAGGCCCTTGCCAAAGCCAAGCAGAGGTGAGACCATGCTGTTTGCAATTTCCACCCACAAAACTGAGTCAAATAAACTCTTGGCAGGGCGTGGTGGTTCACATCTGTAATCCCAGCACTTGGGATTGCTGTAGGAGGAAGACACTTTCCAAAGAGTGCACTCTATTCAGAGGAAAGAGGGAAAGTAGCATTTGCTGAGCACCTACTCCATGCCAAGCCATTGACTCATGCTATCTCATTTAGTTGTCACCCAGTGACTCTGGGAAGTGAATTAGCATGCCCGTTTTTTGGAATGAGGACACTGAGGCTCAGAGAGATGACGTCATTTCCTCCGGGCCGTGTGGCCCTTGGGTGGCACAGTGCCCACAGCCCAGCATTGCCTAACAGCTGGGAGTTTCCTTTCTCCAGCCTCCCATTCTCTCATCCTGGCAGCAGCTGGCTCCTTTTCCCCCACCCAGGCATGTCACACTCACTCCTGGCAGTTGCTGTTGAAACTGAACACACATTTCTGAAGACTGTCCAGGGTCATGAGGCTGATGTGCTCAAACATGTCAAAGGAGGCCACCGAGTTCTCCCCCAGGTGCCGCCGCCATTTCGCCTGGAAGAGAGGACAGGACAGGCAGTGAATGGGTGTGGGTCTGCAGACTTCAGGGAGGCCTTTGTCAGAGCCAGACCGCCAGACCGTCACACCCAGGATGCCCTCCTCCCATGGCCCGGCCCTGGCACTCACATGCATGATGTTGGTGCACTGGTTGAAGATCTTCATGTACGGCTTCAGAATGTCAAAGTGGAAGGCTGGCGTCAGCAGACGGCGGTGCCGGCTCCACTTGTCCCCTTTGCTGAGCAGAAGCCCATCCCCTGGGCCCAGAGGGTGAAGGTTAGGGACCTCCTCTGTTCCCTCCAAGGAAGCCCCAGCCCCAGCTTCACCCCAGGAACTCACCCAGCCAAGGCTTCAGGAAGCTGTAGAAAAAGTCATCCTTGGGGGCAATGGCAGCTGTGGAGAGGAAGCAGGCGATGCAGATATAAGACAGGACCAGTCTGCACTCCACCAGCAGTGGAGAAGAGTCCTTTTCCCCACAGCCCCGCCAGCATTTGTTATTGGCTGATGTCTCAATAGCAGCCATTCTTTCTGGACTGAGATGGAATCTGTGTTTTCATTTGCATCTCTCGAAGGACCAGTGATGTTAAACATTTCTTCATATATTTATTTGCCTTTCTACTTCTTCATCTGAGAACTGTCTGTTCATCTCAGGTG